CCTTGGCACTGGGCAAATCACTTCTCTGTCCTGGGCTCAACTTTATCTAATCTGGCTGAAGCCCATCATCTAATTGCAGTAGGTCCAATCCTTTCCCAGCCACTTCTGTTGCCTGTTCCAAGAGCTCCCAGGAAAGGGGAATGGGATGAGAGGAGGAAAATAACCCAGGGAACATCTGGGACACATTTGGGATGGGACAGGAGTGGGCTGAGGTCTCCAGCCAAGGACCCTGGCACCCCCACCCCGCCATGCACCACTCCACCATCCCTTGGCCAGAGTTTGGCTCTGCCTTTGCCTCCCCCATCTTAATAACTCCCCCATTAGCAGCACCGCAGCACACAGGGATGTACAAAACAGTGAACGCTTTTTATTTTGCTGCTGGAGTGTAACCACTGTAATTTCATAAAACTAAAAAAAAAAAAAAGTGATTACTAAAAGGCATACATTTTTTTTTTTCCTTTTTACACAGGACATAAGTAAACAGACAAGTTTCTTTTTAAAAAGGTTATAAAGTGTCAAGATCCTATACCTCATCTGCATATTCAAAGTGATGCCATCTGATACAAAAAGCATTGGGTATAATAATTTAGCTATGGCTCAGACCAAAAAAAAAAGTCATCTGGGCTTAATCTACATACTACTACGATTGCCCATGGAGTTAAAAAGGAAAATATGCAGTTCTTTGTTGCACAGAAAGAAACAGCAGGGAAGTCGAGAGTTCATTGGGAGATCATCGTCTAAAGGAAAGCTGAGCGTGGTGAAACACCCCCCCTCCCCGGGAATGTCTGCTAGAGCCTGCGAGCGGGACCACAGCTGGCCCGTGACCCCCCTGCTGTGTAAAGAAACCAGCCACATTTTTCTCCCACCAGACAGTATCCCATCCAAATCCACCCGCCAAACTGCACCTACCCAGCCCACTGGGAAGCACGTAAGATGTAAGACCCTGGAAACTGCATGGAAGTCATGAATCTCCCTGTGTGCTTTCCCACTGGGACTAATAAAAAACAAACAAACCCAATGAAAAAAAAAAAAACCCCGACTCATTCTATTGTAGATAGAGCAAGACTCTGCTTCCTCGGGAAATCTGTTACTCATAAACCTGCTCATCCAAAGCTCTCAGCCCAAGCGCCACAGTGTCAGCCTTATTGCAAGACTCGTAATACACATTTACAAATGCAAAGTCTTTAAATACGCATCCCCAGACCTTTCTTAAACAAAGAGCTGGCCATTTGCGGCAGCTGCATTGCCTTCCTTCCCACCGCTGCCCCCACCATGCGCTTCATCCAACTGGAAACTATGGAGAACAGAAGGGACACATGAGCATCTTAACTGAAACGCAGGTAAGGGCACACATGTGCCACCGGTGTGAGGACACAACTATGGATTCCTGCTTAGATTTATTCCCCCATGTGAGGTTCAGCCATGACTGATTCCTGGGCAAAGCCTACAAGCTCTTGGTTTGATGGTTAGAGCATTTCTGCTTTGCCATCCCTTGGGTCTCCAAAGCTCTTGCTACCAGTTCGGAGCCCTGTCCCTGCAAACTATGGAAAGATAAGAGGGTTTCCATGGAGGAGGTGAGAGTTGGATAGGGGTGAAGAGGTATAAAATGCAGTTTGTGCCTTTGCTTCTGCATAAAAGGGCAGGATAAGGTGGTTGGTTTGTAGTCAAAGCCATGGGGGTGTCTGTTCACTATGACATCTGCCAAGACTCAGTGGAGACAACTGGAGCAATAACAGAATTGGCAAATACATCAGAATTTTAAGGCTCTCCTTTCAACATCTTGGCATCTGAGGTGAAACAAGGATTAGCGTACAAGGAGAGACCCCCAAAACCAGACCAAACTATGAGCCCTTGGCCGCTTACTCCTCACTCTGCTGCTACATGTCTATTGAGCTCCAACTTTCCCTCTTCCCCAACGGTCCCAAGATTTTTGTGAGGGAACTGGGCTCTTCTTTGAGATTTCTAAGCCAAAACCCAGTCGGAAGATCCCTCAATTTCTCCAGCCTGTTATGTTTCTGTAACCCACTCTAGGCTGAAACACTGAGGAGCTGGTACCTCAGAGGTAGGAGCCCAAGTCCATATCAAAAAAATTCCAAATATTTGGCAGTCCAACCCAGAGAAACCTTGGAGCAGGTTCAAGCTCTCCATGCAAGGACAGCAGCTCCTCGGCTGCTGAGATGTCCTGTGCATGGAGCAGCACATGGGAGGTGACAGCAAGTTCCAGGACAGGGGTGGAGATACCCACTGAAGCAAGAAAAAAGAAAAAAATTAGGACAATTAAACCAGCATGGTTCTGTTTGGGGTTTTTTTTTGTTTTTTTTTTTTTTTTTCAGCAACTAATAAAACTGAAGAGTATCAAGATGCCGCACTGCCAGCCAGAGGTGCTCAAGATTTGGCCACATGGATTGTACCAGGTCAAGGACTGCTCTTACACTAGAAGCTCCCCATTTTTAAGGTGTTTGGGTTGATGCTACATAAAGCAAAGGAGCACTGCAAAGCTTGTCCTCCTCGTGTTCCCCCCGAAGAAGCCCACCAAGCCGAGATGCGAGTGCACTCTCATAAGAGCTCAGCACTGAGCACTTCCACCGTCAAACCCTGCATGGAGGAGGTGAAGAGTTCCCATGGCTAAAAAGAGGCTGAATTCAAGCCCCTCTTTCCCCATCCTGACCCCAACTCAAAAGCATCATGGCTAAAGCCCTGGACTGCTTGCCCTGGCCGATCCGCCATGTGATGCTCCCATGAGCATGGGTGAGGAAGACATTTCTCCTCCTCTTGCCAGGGCAGAAAACATCTCCAAGCCTGCAAAGCAATGGTTCCCACCGCTTTATCCTAAACTCTTCACAAGTCATGGCACAGCCTATGGTGACCAGGGAGCGCGCATGGGACCGCGAGGTCTCTTGGCTAAGAGGGATTGGGGCTGTTCCCATCGCAAAGCTGAGCCACCTCCTACTGCCCCTGGGGATGAAGCAGCACCTATTTTAGCAGGAGGACACAGCCGGGGAGGAAGGGGACGGTGACCTACCCAGTGGGACTGCTGTAATACAGGATCTAAGGCCTTTTTATCAGCCCAATTTCTCACCCTTCTCAACCAGCGCAGACCCTTCGACCATTGCCACCTTCCCCACAAGACGTAGGAATCAACAGCCTGGAATGGGGCAGGAACAACTCAAGGGACCAAGGGCTGTCCCACGATGTGGAGGCTTGGACAGGCCAGAGGTGTGCGGTATGACAACCCTGGGGCCATGCACGGAGGGTCCCCATCTCACTCGGGACCACAGCCTGTACCACGGGACGGCCATCCCTGCCGTGCAGTGAGGCTGGCTCCCATCGGGAGGAGTGGAACTGGAAACGGCTCCAAGCTCCTCCTCTGCCCACATGTGGTGGCATGAAGCCGTCCCCTACCTTTCTGCAGGTACCGAAGGTGTCTAACCAGCCTTCCTCACCGCTTATCCCAAGAGATGAACCCTCTGAAGCAAATGTCTCTGGATAGTCTACGTTTCGGAAGGCACATAAACCTTTGGAGGTACCCAACGCAGGGCACTGAAGGCATCTCAAGTTGGGCAGCCTAAAACCACAAGATGCTGGATGACTAGCCCTCCTTGCCCCAACAACTGCAATCCTCTGCAGCTGAGCGGGTGAGCAGCTGCGAGCCCAAAGAATACCTGGAGCATCCCTTGGGCCACATGTATGCCCTAGTGACAGTGGATGGCAGCCAGCTGTGACCTGGTGCTGGAGATCACTTGGGGGGGGCCACGGGTCACCTTCTGGGCTCCACTGGGCAGCGATGGGAGAAAGAAAGGCCAGAGGACGTGCGGAAGACAAACAGGTTTTTTTTTTTTTAAAGTTTTTTTTTTTTTCCTTTAATTAGCAAATTTCTTCTTATCCTCGTCAAAAGAAAAAACACCCCCATGCCCCCTACGTGCCCACCGCTCCAGCTGCTGCAAGCATTCAAAGGCAGAAAGTTGAGAGATGTTTAACGTCCCGGCTCAGGGGCAACTCTGAGTCCACCTCACCAGGGCACGCGCCGGGGGGGGGTTTGTGGGTGCCAGGCGCCGTGTTACGGATGTGGGAAAGGCAGGTGCAAAATTTGGTGATGTGCTCTTGCCAGGAGCACCCAAAATCCCCCAGGAAAGCTGCAGCCCAGCCCCTCGGCCAGCAAACGCAGCGGTGGAGGACATGGACGTGCCCCGAGATGCACGTTGCATCTCCAGGGCGCTGCAGTCAGAATTGGGGTTTGCGCTACGGCTTAGTGATGGGGACATGACAGGAGAGAACCCACCACCCTGTGCATTGAGTTTGGAAGCTATAAATAAGAGCACCCCACGCCTTGGGGGACCCAGTGCTGACCCTGCACCCCGGCAAAGCTGGGTGCCTCAAAGCCCCGCCACGGTCCCCGAGCTTCCCAGCACCCCTGCCTTGACTGCAGCGAGCCCCCGGTGAGCCCCAGCTGCAGCATCCCAGCTGGCATCAAGGCAACGGGGAGATGATGAAGTGGGAGAGGAAGCCATAAGAAAAGAAACGGTGCCGGGGAGAATTAGCTCAGCCCTTCCCGTGGCCACAGGCCCCTTCACCTCTCCCTGCTGTCACCATCTTCCCCCCGTAGAGGCCATCGCGCCGTTCCCACCTCCGTCCCTGCTGCTGCAGCCCTTATTTTATAGGGAAGAGGTGGGAAAGGGTTTTTCTGGGGGTGCTCCAGCCCTCCTGCTCCCCATCCCTTCTCAGCTGGCACAGCCCTGCCTGCGTTACTCCAAACCAAGCACCCTTCACCCCATCCCTCTCAGTGCAATGGGAGGGGAAAGGGAGGAGGAGGAGGAGGAGGAAGGTGATGAAGAACCGTCACGTGAGCTCATTGCCGGCTAACGCCAAGAGTCAAAGGGCAGCGCTGCCTTCCCTCCTCGGGGCTGTAGCTGAAGAGAGCAACCTTTTTCGGGGGTTCGGCAAGACGACCGTGCTGCGGGTGCTGGAACACGGTGGTGGTGGTGCTCCACGTCCCCCCACCCCAGCCCTGGCAGTGGGGTGGCGCGTGGGGTGTGCAGGGCTGGGCAAGGAGGTGAGGGGGTGGGATGTGTGCGAGTGCCCGGGTGTCTGTGTGCACGGATTTTGGCAAGAGGTCATTGAGGTTACATGATGCAGCATTTGTTCTTGTGGTTATGAGGGTCCTTAAATCGGAGTCTCTGCTTTGGTCGGTATTTTTCCAAGTACGTCAGCTGCTTGCTGTTGATGGCTCCTCTGCGCTTCCTGCGGGGAGAAGGGTCGGCACAGTCAGTTGTGTGGCAGGAGAAGACCCCCCCGCACCCAGAATCCAGCCCTGCCAGGGTGCTGAACCCCCCTGCCTGGAACAGAAAGGGATTTTGGCCATGTGCATCCTCCAGGGATGGAGATGAGCACCGACCCCAGCAGCTTTTCTCACTCATCTGCCCTGGGAGTCTCAGGACATGGAGAGCTGGGGAAGAAACACGTGGGTAGCTGGCAGAAGCAGGGTGCCTGCCAAAATCCCCCCCAGGGATGCTCCCAGCTGCCGCCCCAGCCTCCTGCAGCCCTGATGCAAAGTCACAGGGTGCTCAATGCCAGCACCTCCCTTTTCCTCTCCCAAAGGAGAGAAAAAGCAAGCCCGGCATCCTGAAAAAACTCTGGGACAGCTCAGATCTCTCCGTTCCCTCGGAGAGGGTCTGCTTTCTCCCCCGACACCAAAACGCCGCTCGACTTACTGTCGGATGAACTGGATGGCGTCCTCGTACTTCATCCCGCTCTCGATCAAGGCCAGCGCGACGAGGACGGGAGCGCTGAAAGGGAACGGCAGTGGCGGTCACTCTCCAGCCGTGTGGCCCAGAGGCTGACATCCCGTCCTGGGACGGAGGGGACACACCGCAGGGCTGTAATGCTGGTGTTGTGGGCAATCGCCAGCGCTGGCTTTTAGTTTGTAATTTCTTCCCATTTGGAGGCAAGTGCTGCCCCAAAGAATGGCTGATTTTAGGGGTAAAACCCTCAGGACAGGGCTGGCAGCTGTTTGCTGCTCTTCTAATGAGCACGAGGATTTTGGAGGCAAATCTATCGGAAAAGTGGATGTAAATACACATGCAAAACCTGACCTGCAGTGGGGGGGAGCAGCAAAACACAGCAGCTCGTGAAACGCAATGGGTCCCTGCTGTAGTGGGAAGCATATTGCAATATTTCCAAGATGAGCTCTTAGCAAAAGCAAAATCACCGTGGGGCACTGGCAGGACAGCACCGAGAAACCAAGGTCCCCCCAGGGTGCCCAGGATTTGGCTGTGAGAAGTGCAAGGAGGCAGCAGCCCCCCTGTCAACATCTATTCCCGCTAAGGTCTCCACCGCATGCAAAAATCCTGCTGTAAGGTGGAAGGAGGAGAGTTGGCATGGTTTATCTCTCTTTCCCCTTCATGAGTGGGGTGGCAGCCGGGGTGCCAGGCTCTGACTTACCGCCCCAGGCCGGCCACGCAGTGCACGGCCACGCAGCAGCCAGGGTCTTCGCAGAACTTGGTCTTCAGCAAGTTGAGCCAATCTTCCACTATCTTGCTGGGAGGAGGCGCTCCATCATCGAACGGCCAATCCTGCAAGGTGGGGGGAAGAGAGAAATACTGTCAGACCCTGGGGAAAAAAACTCAGGGGATTGCTTTTTACTCAGGGTGATGGCGTTCGGGATCTCAGCAGCGGGGAGGGCGGATGCGTGTGCCAGGAACTGGGCTCAGAGCGCAGCTCCGCAGGGATGTAGCAGGTTTTGTGGCACCGCCTGGCATGCAGGAATCCCCCGGCTGCTTCGGCTCAGGGTTTGCAGTCATACGAGTCTAGGTCTGGGGTCCTCCCATCTTCTATGGACAGGTTCAGCCTTCAGGAGCACCTACGGGACCTGCAACACGGTCCCCGTGTCCTGCCTCTGCAGAACCAGGGTGGCCATCGCCTGCCTCCTCCCCATTCGGATGACGGCACTGAGCTTCGGGGAGCTGCAAGTCCCATCCTTCCCCCTGCAAGCTCCTGTCTAAATCTAGCACTTGGAAGCGCAAAGCCACTTTGTAGGAAGTTTGGGCCAAGGTATCTTGGAGATGGCTGAAATCTCAGGGCCTGATGCGGTGCCGAAATTCAGCTTGCTGCAACACATGGAGGGGAAGGTGAATGCAAAAGCCCCAAAAAGATGCTTTGGGCACCCCTTCCACAGCCCTAGACAGAGCCGAAGGGCTCCATCCTTCCAGAAGGGACACCCCTCCAAATGGGGCCATTTAAATAGCATCCTTCAGGAAAGGCTCTTCAGGGAGGGAAAAAAAAGTGCCCATCTTCTTCTGAGCTTCATCCTTGAGCTGCACGGACTCAACATTGAGGCTCAATGATGAAGTGGGTAAAACAGGTGCTGCATTAAGCATCCTCCGTCCCTGGGCTCTGCTATGGGGGAAAAGTGTCCCCCCTGCTTGCCTGTGACTGCTCCGGCATTTTGGGGAAGGGATGGTCTCTCCCCAGCCAGTCAAGGCTGCATGTCTCTACCCAAATGTGGAATCCTCTCTCAAAATGGATTTGGCAGAAGGAACGAGGCCAAACAGCAGTGGGAGAAGGGGACAGGCAGGTGAGCAATGCTTGGAGGTGATGTGGCACATTGATCCTCGGTGAGTGGGAAGCACGGGGCTGTAATCCTCATGTTTGAGGAGTGAGTCACTAAGCTGCTGTGCTGGAGTCATCCTTGGCGTAAGACGGCAAAAGAAGCTGCTGAGCTGAGCTGAGCTTCAGTGTATGAACAGGTAACGTGATTTCAGTTGGGCTTTGCTAGGAAAGGAGCATGTTGGGCTTCAGGATATCCTAATGCTTGAGCCAGCCCATCCTCCACAGCTTATACCCACCCAGCAAGACCATCTCCTCCCTGCGGTGCCCGGAAAGCACCGCTTCAGCCATGAGTGCAGGTCACCAGGCTCACGCCAGGGAAGACACACCGTATCAAAAAATCACCGAATCATAGAACGGTTTGGGGTGGAAGAGACCTTCAAATATCATCTAGTCCATCCCCGCTGCCACGGGCAGGGACATCTGTCACTAGATCCTGTTGCTCAGAGCCCTGTCCAACCTGACCGGGAACACTTCCAACGGTGGGGCATCCACAGCTTCTCTGGGCAACCTGTTTCGGTGTCTCACTACCTTCATCATAAAAAATTTCTTCCTTACATCCAATTTAAACCTACCTTCTTCAGTTTAAAACCGTTGCCCCTTGTCCTATCGCAACAGGCCCTGGTAAAAAGTCTTTATCTTTCTTATAAGCCTCCTTTCTATACCGAAAGGCTGCAATAAGGTCTCCTTGGAACCTTCTCATTTCCAGGCTGAACAACCCCGACTCTCTCAGCCTTTCTCCACAGCAGACCTGTTCCAACCCTCTGACCATTTCTGTGGCCCTCCTCTGGACCTGCTCCAACAGGTCTGTGGCTTTCTTATGCTGGGGTCCCCACAGCTGGACACGGTACTCCAGGTGGGATCTCATGAGAGTGGAGCAGAGGGGGAGAATCACCTCCCTTGACCTGCTGGCCACGATTCTTTTGGTGCAGCCCAAGAGATGATTGGCTTTCTGGGCTGCAAATGAACATTGCCAGCTCATGTCCAGTCTTTCATCCACCAGTGCCCCCCAGTCCTTCTCCGCAGGGCTGCTCTCAATCCACTCATTGCCCAGCCTCTATCCACATTTGGGATTGCCCTGACCCAGGTGCAGGACCTTGCCCTTGGCCTTGTTGAACTTCATGAGGTTCGCAGGGGCCCACTCCCCCAGCCTCTCGAGGTCCCTCTGGATGGCATCCCTTCCCTCGAGCGTATCAACTGAACCACTCAGCTTGGTGTTCTCTGCAAACTTGCTGAGGGTGCTCTCAATCCCACTATCAACATCACTGATGAAGATATTAAACAGTATTGGTATATCCGATACCGTACATCCATCCTGCACCATTAACCTTCCTACAGTGAAACCTGCACAGCACTGGTTCTCCGGCAGGATTTCTGCTCCATCTCCGACCTGCTGGAAGAGCTGCCAAGCAGGTGTCCACGGCGCAGGACACACGGCACAACTTGGGAACTGCCGTCAGCTCTAGAGGTTGCTCAGGATCCCCTGGGGCACACAGAGGAGCTGAAAGCAGAGGAGGTGTCCGAAACACCTGGGGAGCGTGTCCAGGACAGGACAACTGTATGTACGGGCACCGTTGCTGCAGACGCTGGCACCCAGGCACACCGCACCAGAGTCAGACCTCAACTAGCTTGTGCCTATTCCCCAAAGAAAGGGATTAGGATATACAGGTATAGTCTATATATAGATATATTTGATATAGGTGTATTTAGAGATATCTCTGTACCTGCATAGATAAATCTATCCATAGATACATAGGACACAGATATCTCACCATATGATATACCTTACATAGTTTCTATATAGTTGTACAAACATATATAGAAGCTATACAGTTTCTATACAGTGTCACATAGTTTCTGTATCTAGCATATTGATATCTCCCTACGTAAAACAAATCCTAGATATAGATATGTCTCCATATAAGATAGGTAGAGAGGTATGTACATCCTAGATATATAAACTCAGACTGGAGGGCTCCAGTCAGAAACAGGGTAAAAGGCAGAATTTGGTGTGTAAGCGAGCAGATATGATATCCTAGATACAGATTCTATATGTAGCATACAGCTATCTTCCTCTATAGGATAAGATATATCCTACAGAGACACAGCATCTCTATCTAGCGAGATCTGCATCTGGAGGATCTGTATCTAGAGACATAGGATCTATTATCTACCTATATCCCAGAGGATCTAGGATATAGCTACTCTCTCTATAGGGTATAGATTATACAGAGAGAGCTACACGGAGAGGACCACCCCAGGAGGCACAAGGCACTTCCAAACCTTTTCCTAAATAACAAGCAGAGCTTCACTTTCCAGCTGGAGCTGAACTCCCTGGCAGGGCAATCACGCCTGACATCATCTCCAACTACTTATCAGCCAAGATGCAGTCCAGGCAGCTGCCTGCTCTGCCTCCTTGCCTTTTCCTTCTTGCTGCCTGCTCCCTTTCATCCCCCAGAGCTGCACCAGCCGGCTGCTGGAAGAGCAAAAAAACCCGCACCCCCAGTTTAAGATAACGCCGGGGGTAAAGGGAACCGTGCGCGTCTTCCACGTGGGATCAGGCGCTCCCATCCCCTGGATGCTTTAAAGCCTGAGCGACAGGCAGGGAAGGCAGCTGCCGACTCAACCGTATGAGTCACAGTTTCGGGTGCGTGGGCAGCACTTTCTTTTTTTAAAGCACCAGCCCCATCTCAGCTCGGGGAGCGGGGAGCTCGCCCGCCTCACCTGGAGGATGAAGTTGGGCTTCAAACCCCGCTCCCAGGCAAGTGTGATGTCGCTTTGGTCTATATGAAATGCAGAGGTTTTAGCAGATCTGAGGGCTGGGGGTATTTAAGCATGGGGGGTGGAAGGGGGCAGCCCCCCTGGTGCCCATCCTGCTGCCCACCTACCATGACAGTGATGCCATCCTTCTCCAGGGGGGTCTTGTCATAGGTCACTTCGCACACTCGCACAACCGTGGTGGCACCGTATTTCTTCAGGTCCTGGGAAGGGAAGGAGAAGGAGGAGTCTGAAAAAGCCCTGCCAGTTGCAGCCCAGTTAACCCCAACACATCTGAGCCCTGCTGTGACCACATGGACCACTACGGACCCTAAAACAGTGCCGTGCCCCATCTCTGGACCCTCGAGCAAACCCCCTGTGGTCCATCCAGCCTGGGAAGCACAAGGAAACATGAAATCCCAGGGCACCAAGCCGTGTGGCCACGGTAGGATTTTTACCCAGCACGTTCATGACTCCTCGGAGTCACGAGCGACGACGGGGCTGTTTATTTTTAAGCCCTGACGGCCACACCAGCAGGGACTTTACACCCCAGGCAAAAAAACAACCCCAACATGGGTGCAATTAGCCCAAAGGAGAAATTATTTGTGCCCAGCAAGGTCACAACTCCCGCTGCAGAAATGCATAGGCTGGGGGGGGGGTGTCGTAGCACACCCCGCCAACCGCGCTCGCTCAGGGGCTCCTTCTTGACCTCCTTGCCGTATCCCATCATCATTCCAACGCGCTGCAGGCTTGGGCGTGGGACTTGGGCTGTTTCCAGCGTGGCTTATCACCCGCCGCAAGGATTGCTCCCGGATTACGTGCCAGCGTACCGGCCTCGCAGGGCACCATGTGAGATCATCCCCGTCAATGATTTATCATCTCCTTCGTTCCCCATGTGCGCGTGCCAGACCGCAGCAAACCCCCGCACACTCAGCAGCTTGGCCAAAAAACCTAAGAGGCTGGAGGAAAAGGGGAATTTTTCCCCGTTCCCACTGCTGCCATCCCCATCGCCTTGTGCACAGCGTGCAGGCTACGGGGTGGCTGTCCCCAAATCGCAACCACCTTCCTGCGGCGCTCCGAGCCAGTAGCGCTCATGTGGTTTTTTTTTCAGGTGTGCATTGTGGGGGGGTTTCCTCGAGCTCGAAGGATGCCTGTGGTGCCAGCACATCAGACCTCAACGCGGTTTAAGTCTAAGGCAAAAATTCTTCACCAGGGTCACGTGCAGCCCTAGGTTCCCCCCCCACGAATGCAGTAACATCCCCAAATGACTCCTCGTAAGCAGAAGCTGCTTGTGCCAGCTCGACTGAACCTGCAGGACACGGTGTTTCCCCCAGGCATTGATAAAAGAGCAAGTCGAAGCCTTTCGACCCGGACCGCAGACATGCATCCATTAATCCCCCCGCTAACTCCCAGCTGCTCCCAGGCAGGGCACTGTCGCTGGCTCATGCAACACCGAACCCTCCAGCATCTTGGGCACTGCCCAAAACACTCTGGGCATTGGAAAGACGCTGGGATATTTGGGATGGAAAGTCCTTATGAAGGTGCTGGGAGATGCAGGGGAGGTTGCGTGCATCCACGGGCATCACTGCAAAGCCCCTTGACGTGACGTGCTGGTGGAGCTGACAGGGGATGCAACAGGAACGGGGAAACTCTGCTCCACCTCCACCACGCTCAAAGATCACGCCTGGGGTCCTCCAAAACATCCAACCCCAAAAAGCTGGCGGTGATCGGACCCACCGCCCTGGGATGCCACCGGGGGCTGTGGTACCAAAGGGGATGCTTTGCTGCCTCATCCTACACAGGATCCCTGTTGCATCCCAACATTGGCTTTCAGCCCCAAAATGTGCAGCTGGACCCTGGTCCCCAACTTCCAGCCTCCCCTCCTTACCTCCAAGAAGGTGCTGAGCGTGGCATTGGTAGGGTTGTGGGTGATCAGGAACCTCATGTTTTTGTAGCAGACCTCCACCGGCGCAGGGCGGTTCATCCGGGCCATGGCGGGATGGGAGGAGGGTGAGACGGTGCTGATGGCAGTGGGGGAAAAACCCAAGAAAAGCGTGGCGTGGAGGGGGAAAAAAAAAAAAAGAAAAAAACCACCCCTCTGCGCTTAAAAAATAAAAATAAAACAGGATCGAGAACTCAATATACAGACGTTGTGCAAATAATCCCAGCTCCTGGGAGCGCGCCGGCTTCCTCGACACACTGCAAGCCCCCCGGGGTAAAAAGCCAGATGGGAAAAAATAATATTAATGATAATAATAATAATAATAATTAAAAAAAAAAATATCCCTTTGCTGTAGTGTCGGTGTCCTCGGCGTGTGCGCGACGGCGAGCCTCCGGTGCCGCGCGCTCCCCGGCGCTCTAGAAAGGCCTCTGCATATGGGGGGGGGTGGCGGGAGGGGGACCCCCGTCACGTTACCCCATCGGGGTATGTGGAGTACTTGGGGGGGGCACGGGGGGCCGGGAGCCTACGGGGCGGTGTCGGCGGCGTCCGGCAGCGGTCCCTCGCTGGGGCGATCCATGCACGGGAGCCTTGAATGGTTGAGTCGGAGGGTCGGGATGCCGGGCGAGATGTGGCGAGGCGGTCGGGCGCTGCTTTATGGGGTGGGTTGACGGGGTCTGCGGGGCTCAGAGCTGCTCCTCAGCACCTCCATAAATCCCAGCAGAGAGCGAGGCTGGAGGGGAAGGAAAGGGAAAGACGGGGGTGAGGGTCTTCCTCCCCAGGCTGGCTCCCGTAAGCGCATCCCTGATCACGCTCGTCGTTCGCAGGGTACCGTAGGTGAGAAAGCCAGGTGGTATTTAAAGAAATAACCGAAGTATCATCTGAAAAGCTGAAATGGCACCGGAAAGCCAGGGGGAAAACTCTCATTTCCCCGCAAAAGGGAAAACCCACATGGCAGGGAAGGGGCTCGCTCTCGTGCCACCCAACGTCAGCACCCGGCTGGTGTATTCGAGCTCCCGCGCCATGCAGACTGACCCCCCCCCGGCACCCACTCTGTCCCCCCAAGACCTCACCTTTGAGTCCCCGAAACGCCCAGCGAATGTTTCTGCCCCAAATACGGCGCTCTGCCCGAAACCGGCCACCGCCGCCCCTAATCAGCCACATGCTCCTGGTGCTGCTCGAGCGGCTAATGTCCACCAAATGCACCTCTAATGCTCTTAGGCAAACTAAGCCGCCCGCAAATGAGCTTTCTTGGGGAGGGGAGGGGAGCAGAGGAGGGGGTCGCAGCTGCGCCGTTTCGTGACGGATGCGTCTCCCCGCTCGCACATCTGCATCCCCATCGCTGCCAGCACGTCGCTCCCTATAAAGTACGCCGGCCTCGCGACCTGCGGCACCTTTGCCTTAAAGGATGGCGATGGGGAAAAAAAAAAAAAAATTAAAAAAAGAAAATCAATTCCCGCCGTGGAAATGCCAAAACCCAAGAGAGGATCGGCCCAGCGGGGAAGCGAGGGTGCTGCCAGCCCTGCTCGGAGCAAAGGGAAACCTGGCGCTTCCCCGGGTTGTCACCCACCAGACTCTTGTTTTGAAGCTGGTCCCTTCCCTGGGTCAGCGGCTGCTTAGCGCCACGTGGCTGGAGCCTCAAAATAGACCATAAGCACATAAGTAACCCGAGCCAGGCCAGTATGCACCCACTCGCCTCTTCTCCTAATGCCCCAGCGCCAAGAAACTTTCCCCTCCGGGTCGTTTTATCCTGATGCGACAAGACGAAGTGGGAGCAGGGAGGTGCACTGAGCACCGACCAGCTCATCACACCACCTGGGTGCTGTCGCCGGGATCCTCCGTGCCTCAGCATCATTTACAACCCACTCGCTGCCTCCTGCTTCACCGGTGGTCCCCAGGACTGCAAAAAATCAAATAGCAAAAGGAAAAGGCGGCAAGGGGAAGCACGTTGCTCTCCTAAACGTGCCCAGCTTGGCTGCTAAAATAGCGGACTTTGCTGCTGGCAGGGCACTGATTTATTATTGGCAGCACGTGCGAGCCCTGGCACTGTCCCGGCGCACGGTGCATCTCCGTGCCCATGGGTTTGTAGCTGGGATTTTGGAAAGGAGCTTAGAGGGGGCTAGGAGCTGGGAAAGGGCCAAAACTCAAAGGGATATCAGCACTGAGCCATCCCCAGCTCCCCTGCAGACCCTCGTATGTCCCCATCCTCCTTAATTGCCCCAAACTCCCTTGTCAACTATGTCCCATCACTCCCGTCTCATTTTTTTTTTTTGCCCATAAAAAGATCGGGGAAGACGGGACAAAACCAGCTGTGTGGTTTGCGACGGTGACTCATGGCTCAGCAGCGTCGAGCTGTGGGCTCCTTCAGTTGGGGTGTGTTATTTTGTTTTTTTTTTTTTTTTTAAGGATGCTGAAGAGCAGTAATAATCCGCCCTCCGAGGATGCTCTGCAAAGTTCAAACCCTGCCTGGGCTGCAGGGGATGAGTGGGACATCCTGGGGGGGATTTTCCAGTCTCCATTGAGAAAATCAGATTTTAGCAGCTGATGGAGGCTGGAAGCTCAGCTGAAGGATGGGAGCAAGGCGAGAGCTGCCTCCCAGGAGCATTTTGTGTCTGATTCAGAGCAGCTCAGGCCCCAGGTCATGTTGACCCCCCCCAAGGGCAGCTCACCGTCCCCAGCTGGACCACAGCAGCTGGGATCTTTGCTCAAAGCTTGCAAAGCTCCTGCAAGATGAGATGGGAAACCTCCTCTCCCCCTGGGCTCGATATGCTTTTCCCATCCATCTCTTTGCTTGCGGGGTCTCCTCCCCGCCCCCAAGATGAGCTTACCATGGCCAGGTAAGAAATGGTATTTCTGGAGGGTAATTTTGGGCTGGTTTTGGCTATGTGGCTCCTAGAGGTCCAGCTGCTGAGCTGCAGGCCAGCATGGCCACGAAAAGAGCCAGCAACCCAGCGAGTGAATGTTTTCCAAGAAAAACACGCTGGCAACCCCCTCAGCAAGCTTCTTCCTTCCTTCTCCATTTGCTTCAAGGAAAAAAGAAGAGGTTAAAACCCTCCAAAGGGATGGGAGGTGGAAGGGATGGGTAGCCACAGATGCTTGCTCAAAGGGAAGAGCTGCTGGAACGCAGGTATTGCCCCAAATCATCCCCCTGCAAACCCAATTTCTCTGAAGCAAAGGACCCAGGGATCTTCTGCTTTTAACACCTTCGGCTCTTGGCTCTTTTAGGTTCCAACACATTTAACGACATCTTGCCTTCTGCCCCTTGGGGCTCGATGCACCAGCATGAGAGATGCTTGCAGTGCACAAGGAAAAGCAGCAAACCCCAACTTTTTCCCTACCCCAAACAACCTTATGTCCCGTTTTAACAGGCTGCAGGGTCATGTTAATACAAACCATGTCCCGGATTAAACCTACCCGCTGAGCAATGCTGCGGGACTGGGAGCTGCTGTGAGCCCCAACGCCAGCATCGCACGCCAGGAGTGGTAGCTTGTTCCCCATCGTCATCCAACACGTGGTTCGTGCTCCATCGGCACTCCGGATCCCATATAATTTTTTATTGGCTTGGGTGTGCTTGCTGCCAGTAACGGAGGTTCACTGGGAACCGCTTGCCTACGAGAACAGCGAGTGCTCCTTTCCCACAAGGTCTCCTCTCCAGTGGAAGCGTTTCAAGTATTTTGGCAATTGCATGTCCCGGCAATTCAGCCCCAAAGTCTCTAAATCCCTAATGGATATTCAGTTACAAATCATCCCCAGTGCTACAGGCTGCGATGCTGATCACCATATTAAGCGTGGCAGAATAATGTGGAAAAGGGTTTTTCAGCTAATATTAATAACCTGCCAAGTGAATAAATATCCTTCTGACTTGAGCACTACGGGGGATCTAGATGAAGCACATGAGGACACAGTAAGCAAGACCTGGGTGAGGATGCTCAGCAGCGCAGCACTGGCCTTTCAGGCTCAAACCCATCAGGGTGAAGCTCAATGAAGGAAACCCAGCACGGATAATCGGAGGAGCCGGCTACCCAGCTGCCACCATCCCCCTGCTGTGCCCAAGGCCAGGGAGGGACGGGGACCACCTCCCCAAAATGTGCCCATCACTGCCACCCCAACACCTGCAAGCTCATCTCAAAGCTTCGCCGGCAACACTTGCCTTTGAATTTCCACAAGTATTAATGCGACAAGGCGGGCTTCTTCCTTGCAAAGCCCCCAAAAGACACACGTACCATGCGAGCCGCAACGACATGTTGTGCCATGATGGTGGAAATTTCTGGTTCTTCCACACGAAGTTTTGCACCCAAGAGCCCAGCGAGGATCCAGGGCGAATGCACCCCACTGTGGCAAGAGAGCAACGGGCGATGCTGCTCCGGAGGATGGGGACCACCGAGCCATCACGTCCCTGCCTACACCCCAAGGCGGAGGGGATCACGGGGCTCTCCTAATTATTTCTTTGCAGCGTGGCAGCTCCATTCCGCCTATCTTGGCCTCGTCCCAGCCATCCAGGCACAGAGCCTGCAACAGCAGGGATGAAGCTGCTCTTCCTCCTGGCACCTTGATGCAAAATAAAGGCCAGGTCTTCTTTGCTGCAGTTAATGAAAGGGCTTGGCTGGAGCCGTGACCCGACGGCTTTGCTGCTGGTGCTCGGGCTAGCGGGATGCAGCTGGGGAAGTCAGGTTCTCCTGAACACAGCAACTCCCCAAGCAAAGGAAAAGGAAACTTTGCAGAGCCAAACAGTCGCTCCACGTGGGCTTTAGCAGCGGGACTTGGAACAAAGGCTTTCTCACCCGAACAATCTATATCTTACCCGTGTATAAATATAGTTATCTCCCGAGTGAGCACATCTCACGTTCAAAGTTCACCTTCAGAAAAATCTAATAAAACACCCATCTGTGTTACATTTGCTTGACCTCTCTCCTGCTTTCAACCCATGTAGCGAGACACCGACCAGCCCTTTCCCCTTATGGCTGATCGATTCCTACTCTCCCCCCCTTCCAATCCTAGCTCTGCAACAGGCATTTCCATCACCCTGAAGATTGAATGCAAGATGCTGAGCTGCA